TATTTTATAACTAGTTTATTTTGTATTAACTTGGATAGATTTATAAAACCATTGTCCATGTTATAAACCCAGTGTAATATTCTAAGAATTATAAAATGGATAAAGATAATACATAGACTTATCTGTCATTGTGAGATGTCAATAATGCTGGTCAATAAGAATTAAAAGTTATTTGAGAAGCTATAACTGACCATAAAGTATTTAGATGAAATTGAACCACATCAGGCCATATGCAGAATAAGCCATTTGATAGCAGGTTTATATCTACTATAATCTGAGAAGACTCCTAAGGTAGAGTTGAAAGTTAAAATAACAATAGACTCTATATAAGATACAGCACTTAATATAGTAACTATTTTTGGAAAATAATTAAGGTTCTAAAATTGAAGTGTTTAAAAAGAGGACTTGCCTACCTGCCATGATGAATATGACTAAAATTATAAAGAAAGACTCACCAAAATGCTTGTTTCTGGTATGCAATCATAGACCATCAAACTTATTTGAAACCTCAGCTCTTTTAGTAAAAAAATATTAATTCTCTTGTCATAAATCGAAATCCAGGAAAAAGTACTAATAATTGTGAAATTCAAATTATCAATAACATAATTTTGAAAATCCATTTATTGAAATATACAAATAACAAAATCTGACAGAGCCATCTGTTAGTATGTGACTCCAGATGATACATTATTGGTGGGATTTTAAGGGGATTCTATTTCTGAAGGTTGTCAATATTGTGTACTCTGCAACTCAGCAATTCTATCCTCCAGTATACAACAAAGAAAAATTTTGTCATATATACTTTGTGATACATTTCCAAGAATTTTCGTGGCAGTGCTTTTCACAATAACAAATTTCAGAAAAGAAACACAATTTTCATTGGCAGGAAAATGAATTAGTGAACAAAACAGAATATTATATTGCTGTTAAATGATTAAGGCAAAGTACAATAGGAATGAATCACAGATATTTAATAGTACTAAGTAAATAAATTAAGACTCCCAATAATGTACATGCAAAGTAATATCCAATTTCCAAGTTTAAAAAAAATGTGTGTTTGTATGTGTTCATATACACATGTGCATTTTAGTAAATATGCAGATGCATTAAAACTATATAACACTGTTGGTAGAAATGTGAAGTCAAATGGCCATTATAGAAAATAATAGAAATTTTCCTCAAAAAAAATTAAAAATAAAACTACCATATGATTCATCAATCCAACTACTGACAATGCATTCAAAAAAAAATCTATACTTCAAAGAGATATGCACTCCCATGTTTATTACAGCACTATTCACAATAACTAACACATGAAGAAATGTGTGTCCATCAAAAATTAATGAATAAAGAAAATATGGTACACATACAAAATGGAATACTATTCAGCTGTAAAAAGGAAGGAAATCAAGTCATTTGCAACAACATGGATGAACATGGAGGACATTATTTAAGTGAAGTAAGCTAAGCAGAGAAAGATCTCACTCGTACATGGAGATATCTCATAGAAATAGAGACTAGAACGGTGATTACCAAGGAATAGAGTGGTGGGGGATGAGGAGAATTGGTCAAAGGATACAGAATTTAAGAGATCTGTTGGACAACATGATGACTACAGTTAGTACATTGCATTCTTGAAAAATGCTAAGAATAGAAGTGTCTTGCCACAACAAAATAATAAACTATGTGAAGCAATACATATGTTAACTATCTAGATTTAGTCATTTCACAATGTATGCATACTTCAAAACATCATGTTTTATGCAGTAAATACATACAATTTTATCTGTCAATTAAAAAAAGAAAACATGACAACTATATAACCATGATTGCAGGGTTCAGCAGTTTCTCAAGTGAGATGCCAAGTGATAATGGTGCACAGGAACATATCAGTTCAATTCCTCAGCGAGTTTACTGGCACTCACTAATTACTGAAAACTAGATAAACAACGTGAATACGTAAGTACAAAATGACCATACACAGATTTGAATGAGATTATGGCATAAGCAAAAGATTGTAATAATTTCAATTCTAAGCAACTGAGGTCCATATACTACTACTACTACTAATAATAATAATAATAATAAAAGTATACTCATTTGTATTAAACCATTTGTGACTACTGCAGTCTCAGAATATTAATGAGGCTTTTTGTGTGTGCTGGGTTTTTTGTTTTAGTGTTTTTTATTTTTGATTTTGTTTTTTGATACAGGGTCTAGCTCTGTCACTCAGGCTGGAATACAGTGGCACAACATGGCTCACTGCAGCTTCAACTGCCAGGACTCAAGCAATCCTCCCACCTCAGCCTCTTGAGTAGCTGGATCTAGAGGTGTGTGTCATCATGCCCAGATAATTTTTGTATTTTTAGTAGAGACGGAGTTTTGCCATGTTGTCCAGGCTGCTCTTGAACCCTGGGCTCAAGTGATCCTCCTTCCTCAGCCCCCCAAAGTGCTGGGATTACAGATGTGAGCCACCACACCCACGTTAAGGAGTTTTTTAAATAGATGCTTTATTGTTTTTAAGCTTTTAAATTTTAAAAGTGTTTAAGAAAATAAAAATTAGGTAAATGAAGATGGTTAATCATACATTAAAAAAAGAGAATGCTTAAGACCAAATATTTGATAGCACAATTGGGTGACTAGAGTCAACAAGTTAACTGTACATTTTAAAATAACTTGAAGAGTGTAATTGGATTTTTTTGTACCTCAAAAGATAAATGCTTGAGAGGATGATACTCCATTTCCATGATATGCTTACTTCAATTTCATGCCTGTATCAAAATATCTCATGTACTTCATAAATATATACACCTACTATGTACCCACAAAAACTAAGAAAACAAAAAAAAATAAGAGTATCTTAATTATGAAGAGTAAATAACTAAGTCTCTGATTCATTTTAGATTGTAGGAGAGAATGTAATTTCTGAAATTAAAGCACGATTTAATTTAATTTAATTTAATTTTTGAGATAGGGTCTCGCCAAATTGCCCAAACTAGAGTATAGAGGTATGATCAGCTCACTGCAGCCTGGAACTTCTAGAATCAAGCGATTCTCCTGCTTCAGTCTCCTGAGTAGCTAGGACTACAGGTGTGCGCCAAGTATACTAGCTATTTTGTATTTTTTGCAGAAAATAGGATCTCGCTATGTTGCTCAGGCTGGTCGCAAACTCCTGGTCTCAAGCAATGCTCCCACCTTGGTTTCTCAATAGGTGAGAGCGGCTATGCCAGGCCTCATGGTTTAATAATTATTTAATCAGTCAGAATGACAGAGTTAAATGGGGATAGGAGTACCTTCATGCCTGTATGGCTGGCAGTGATGAGTTGTAAAGTGTTAAGGAGGTGAGCAGTAAATTAATATAGGAATGCAAACTGGCGTGGGGGCTAGGTGAGTCCATATGATAGGATGGGGGTACAAGTTTAGAAGAGGGTTGTTAATTTGAGCAAGGAAATACATGTACACATTTCCAAACTGTGCTAGCACTAGGTTACATACTGGGGAAAAGTTTAAATGGGTAAACATGTTGAGAATAATGGGAGAATGCCTTCTCTTTTCCTGAAAAGGGAATTACAAATACAGAATTCGAGAAATCAATGTGATCATTGATTTTGATAGATGATGGAGATATAGGTAGATGATAGATAGACAGATGGAGATAGATGATAGATAGATGATAGATGATAGATAGATAGATCATAGATAGATAGATAGATAGATAGATAGATAGATAGATAGAGAGACAGATAGATAGTAATGTACATGTGTGTGTGTGAAGTTTGCTCTTTTCCCTGTAAGAGCATGAGTGCAGCAACATTAAAAGAGCAATAAACATACTGAGGCCAATATCTCTATTTCCAAAAATCATTCTCCATAACTGTCCATAAAATAGGACACTTTGAAAAAAATACAGGTTCCAGTGCTGAGAGAGAGCAAATACAAGATGAGACTGAATATATTTTGTGCCAGAAAATAAGGAAGAGCTCAAAAAATGATCAGGCCATGATCAAAGTCACAAAGAGGCAGCTTAAAGAATTCCCATGGGCCAAATACTGGACATTTTGAGCATCAAAATACTAATGGTCATAATTTTATAAACCAATTAAAACAGAAATTTATTATAGTGTGAAAAAATCCCTAATTTAGATGAGAAAAAATGACTCTCTGAGTGCCTGAGTAGTTCATTGCCTCATCAGACCTGCAAATGTAATATTGAGTCAAAAAACAACAAAAACAAATTGAGTGCACCACAGATATGAATGCAACAACAGGTTTCACTTTCATTGTTATCATGAAGCCAGAATTGAGATTTATCCATAATCTTGTAAAGCTCTCAAAGCTATTTTAACTTACAGAACCATTAAGTTTTGGGGCACATGAAACAAATCCTGAAGAGAAAGAAAAGCTACTGTGTGTAACTGTTACTTTTCAAACAGAACAGTCTTTAGGTAAAAAGTATTGTTTATTAATGTAATTGACTATTATTTTTAACATGAAATGTGCTTCCAGATATATATACTTGGATCCCTTCTCAAATTGAGGATTATAGAAGACTAGGCCTGTGATTGCATTAGACATTAGCATAAAATACACTGAAGTTGATATTGATTAAGGGAGATGATATCTACAGATTCCTATTACATTATTCAAAAATAAATGGGTCTGTGCTTGGAAAGAGATATATAGACAAATGAACAACATGTTAATATAAGTAAAGGGTATACAGGAGTTCTCTATACTGCTTTACAACTTCTTTGTAATTATGAAAGTATACTAACAAAAATTAAACTTGTTATATTGGTATTCATTTACCTAGCAATTTCTTTCACTGAGTGGAAGGTTTTTCAGAGACAATTTACACAAACTAAAGCTGGTAAGCAAGGAATAAGGATAAGTTTGGTATATACATTTTGTGTAATCCTCTTGGCAGGAAGAATCATTTCCAGATCATTTCAGCTGAGCTGAAAATAGACTTCTGCTGAGCATTTCCTAGGTTACACTGCCAAAACATTCTCCTTAGCTCTGGTGGCTTGATGTTTTACTCGTGCTATCTTCTACTTTGTTGGGATTGAAAAGAAATGATATTTCATATCACTGATACCCCACTGCGTTCAGCTATGAGAGCAGAATGGTGAGCTTAAGAGTTACTAAAATAAATGTTAATTGATTGTTACAGAATTGTTTGCCTATCTAACTTTAAAATGTGTGTATGTGTATGTGTATGTACATACTTGAAAATGTCCAAGATTATGGAACAGAGCTTTTTGCTATCATAGAAAGTAAAATTCATGTGAAACCTGAACTAGAGCTCTCAGTATTATGAATGATAGACTCTATCTATCCAAGATGACATGTAGATAAACATTCATTTTCACATATCCTTTTTCCTCAATATCAGGTTTTTTATTGCTTGTTGAACTTTTCACCTCCACTATTTGCTTAAGGGCTTCATTAATATTTGTTTATCTCACTTTATTTCTATTCCCATATTAAACACAGAGATGGAAAAATAAAGCTTTATATTAAGCAGTGACCAAGAAAGAAGGTCTTAATTATATCTAGTTCCTTTTCGGCCTCAACAAGGCCATTTTTAAATGCAGCAATATTGTTTATCATGTTTAATACTGTCTTGAGGTTTGTAAATATGATAGAATCTATGCTTCTTCTATCCATTCAAAGGAAAAAATAAGAACCATGCACATTTATGCAGCTAGGCAAGGGGAAAATAATATCATATTAAATTTTTGTGCATATTTTTAGAATCAAAAGTTAAACATTAATTCGTAAAAAGTCAATGCCCCAAAATTGATAAGCAACTGATTTTACAGAATGCTTTCAATTGAGCTATGAAACATATTTTGTTATACTCTGGTGTGTTTGTGTGCTTGAAAGGAGAGTTTCAATGAAAAATGACCAATGTTACTTTTAGTCAACATGATAGGAGTAGTCTTTAATAATGAGACTGGGAAGTAAAACACTTCCAGATGCCTTAAATTGAGCCACCATAGACTTTGCGTATTATAAATATAGTCTGTACTTCAGTTTTTAGACAGTTTTTAAAATGAAGAATTATACAATAAAAATACCAAATCTTGGACTAAAGCTGAGCATTTTGGAATGATAAATTTCACTTGGAGATTACATACCAGAGCAAAAATAATTTTAAATATAGCATCTGTCCTTTTTATAACCGTATTTTATATTTTGTTACTTTATTGAGTAGTAAGAAATTTATATGATCCCCAAAATAAAATTATGTATAAGAAAAGTGTTTTCATTTATGTATTTCTCCCTCAATCCTTTCAACTCTGCTCCTACCTATCCATGTTGGTAACCAATTTAATTAGTTTCTGGTTTATCCTTCCTGCATTTCTTTTTATTAAAATATGCAGATAAATGAATGTTTTCTTATTTCTCCTTTCTTTAACATAAAATGTCAAACATTTTATATGCTCTTTTTTTGTACTATTTTACAAATAAAATTTCAATGAGTATCATCATGCAGATGTGTTTCCTATTGAAGATGATTGGATTTAATGATAAAATATTTACAGATTTATTAGATGCTATCAAATTTAAATGCATAAGGTTAAAACATTTTGCATTTCTAAAGCAATATACGAGTGCTTAGTTCCCAAATAAACATACTGTTGCACTTTTATTTTTGATCAACTATGAAAAAGAGTTGCTCAGGATATGTTTAATTTTTATTCCTCTTATTATTTATAAAGTTGGAAATTTTTCCTATATTAACAAGCAATTTTCATACTTTGTGAATTATTATTATGTGTTCCAATTTTTCTGCAACGTTTCTATTTCTTCCCCTCAACATTTGTAGGATGCTGAGGATTGTTGATATGGTATATTATTTGTGATTAATGTTGCAGGTGTTTGTTTGGCATTTGTCCTTTGACTTTTTAATTGCATTTTACCCATGTTAAAAATTGTAAAAACTAATTTCAAGTTATAAGTCATTTATTTTATGTCCTTTTATATTGGTATCCTTATTAAAAACAGTTCTGTATATTCAGATTAGCATGATGAATTCACTTATATTTTCTTCTTGTACACACACATGTCTGCGGGTGTTCAATTTTTAATATTTAGATTCATGGCACATTTGGGAAATGGTGTTTTATTACTAAAATATAAGATGTAATTGTGAAAAATAAATATTCATCAACCCCTTTTTCCTTAGTGGATTTTAATCAGAAATTGATATTGGGTGTTTAATGTGTTATCATCATTATACAGATAACCATAAAATTTTCACCTTTGGTTTATTGATATGATAAATTAATGATTTTCCTAACATTGAAATAAACTTGGTCCCTAGTAATAAACCTTTTTCCCATATTGTCATATTGTATCATTTAATTCATACATTTCACTCTATTACTTTATATTTTATTTAAGAACTTTAAATTGATCTGCATTTGTGATATTGGTTTGTAATTTTCATATTCATGTGCTATCATTAGTGGTTTAGATATCAATGTCTGTTTTCATGCTGCTATGAAGAAATACCAAAAACTGGGTAATTTATAAAGGAAAGACGTTTAATTGACTCAGTTACCTATAGCTTGGGAGGCCTCAGGAAACTCACAATCATGATGGAAGGCAAAGGAGAAGCCGACGCCTTTCACACAGGGCAGCCCTAAGGGGTGAGTGCAAGCAGGGGAAATGTCAGATGCTTATGAAACCATCAGATCTCATGATACTTACTCATTATCATGAGAAAAGCATGGGGAAAATAGCCCCCATAATCCAATTACTTCCACTTGATCCCACCATTGACACATGGGGATTATTACAATTCAAGGTGAGATTTGGGTGGGAACACCGTTGATAGAACCAAACCATATCAATGTCATACTGGTTATACAGGAAAAAAAAAAACCCTTATTTCTGATGTTGTGGAAAAATTAATGTATTTGGGGGATTACATATTTATTAAATGTTTGCTTCATAAGATTGTAAAACTTTGGGGTTTAAGTGTGGTTTTTGTTTGGTTTTTATTTTTCAAATTACTTTTATTGTTTTATTTTAATTTTTTCATACAATTTTATTTATATTTAAGGCCATGAATTATCCTACAATTATCACTATATACTAAAATATAAAATTTAAAGTATTTATTATTTTTTCATAAGTTTTGTAACTTTTTTACACCATAAATATACGTAATGCTTATTTGTCAATTAAAAAATGAAAGTTAAATACTGTATAGCACTCACTTATTTGAATATAAAGTTTTTTCTATTTGTTGCCCTGCAATATGGAATTTAGGTCATTTAATTTTTTTATAATTTTTTATTTCAATAGTTTTCATGAAACAGGTGGTTTTTGGTTATATGAATAAGTTCTTCAGTGACCATTTCTGAGATTTTCATGCACCTGTCACCAAGCAGTATACACTGTACCCAATGTGTGCTCTTTTATTTCTAGCTTCCCTCCTACCCTTCCTTCGGTGTCCCCAAAGTCCATTATATCATTGTTATGCCTTTGCATTCTCATAGCTTGGCTCCCACTTATGAGTGAAAACATATGATGTTGGTTTTCCATTTCTGAGTTACTTCACTTAGAATAATGGTCTCCAATTCCATCCAGGTTGCTGCAAATGGCATTATTTTGTTTCATTTGATGGCTGAGTAGTATCCCATGTTGTATGTATACTACATTTTCTTTATCAATTGATTGCTCAATGGACATTTAGTCTGGTTCCGCATCTTTGTGATTGTAAATTGTGCTGCTATAAACGTGCATGTGCAAGTGTCTTTTTCATAGAATGACTTCTTTTTCTCTGGGTAGATATCCAGTAGTGAGACAGCTGTTTTGAACAGTAGTTCTACTTTTAGTTCCTTAAGGAATCTCCATACCATTTTTCATAGTGGTTGTACCAGTTTACATTCCCACCAGAAGTGTAAAAGTGTTCCCTTTTCACCATGTCCATACCAACATCTTTTTTTTTTTTTTTTTTTAAATTATGGCCATTCTTGCAGGAGTAAGGTGATATCTCACAGTGGGTTTGATTTGCATTTCCCTGATAATTAGTGATGTTGAGAATGTTTTCATATGTTTGTTAGCCATTTGTATATCTTCTTTTGAGAATTGTATATTCATGTCCTTGGCCTACTTTTTGATGGGATTATTTTTTTTTTCTTCCTGATTTGTTTGAGTCTCTTGTAGATTCTGGATATTAGTCATTTGTCAGATGTATACGTTTCAATATTTTCTCCCATTATGTGGGTTGTCTGCTTACTATGCTGATTATTTATTTTGCTGTGCAGAAGACTTTTAGTTTAATTAAGTCTTACCCATTTATTTTTGTTTTTGTTGCATTTGCTTTTGGGTTCTTGGTCATGAACTCTTTGCTTAAGCTAATGAGTTTCTCCAATGGTATCTTCTAGAATTGTTATGGTTTCAAGTCTTTGATACAAGTTTATTGTCCATCTGGAGTTGATTTTTGAATAAGATGAGACATGAAGATCCAGTTTTATTCTTCTACATGTGGCTTGCCAATTATCTCAGCATCATGTAATGAATAGGGTGTCCTTTCTACATTTTATGTTTCTGTTTGCTTTGTCGATGATCAATTAGCTGTAACTATTTGACTTTATTTCTGAATTCTCTACATGCCTATTTTTTATACAAGTGCCATGCTGTTTTTGTAACTGCAGCTTTGTGGTAAAGTTTGAGGTCTGGTAATGTGATGACTCCAGATATGATTTCTAGTTCTGTGGGTTTTTTCTAGTTCTGTGGGGTTTTTTCTAGTTCTGTAAGGAATGGTGATAGTACTTAGATGGAATTACATTGAATTTGTAGAGATTGCTTGTGCTTTTTCAGACTTTTTGATATAGGTATTTAATGCTATAAACTTTCCTCTTAGCACTACTTTTGCTGTATCTCAAAGGTTTTGATACGTTTTGTCACTATCATTCAGCTTAAAGAAGTTTTTAAATTTCCATCTTGATTTTATTGCTGACCCAAAGATCATTCAAGAGCAGATTATTTAATTTCTATGTATTTGTATAGTTTTGAGGGTTCTGTTTGGAGTTAATTGAGTTAATTTCCAGCTTTATTGCACTGTGGTCTGGAAAAATACTTGATAAAATTTTAATTTTCTAAATT